CCCCAGCCACTGGGACCGTCCGCGTATACTCACCACTGGCGAGGGAGATTCTGCCATGAGACAGAGGTGTTTGTGGGGCACCAAGATGGACACATGGACACCCCTCCCTCCCCTCCTCTCACCCATCCCCAGCAGGACGAGGTGCAGCCCAGCTCAAGCTGCAGTGTGGCCTCTGCAGCTGCTGCCCAAGCTGTCCCCAGGCTCTGCACCCCCCGAGCCCTGCCCGGTGCTTCCACAACCGACAGCCCCGTGCTGGAGGGGAGGGGGTCTGGCACAGAGGAGGAACGTGTGGGCAGTGTCCCCTCCCAGCCCAGCCACCATGCAGCTACTGCCCCATGCTGCAGCCCCAAAGGTGACCAAACAACTTGGCAGGGCAACCACAGGACCCAACATCATCACAGTATCAGTAGGAGAGAGAAAAGGCCACAGGGCACCCTTACAGGTTCAAGATCTGGCACATTAACGTTGTTAAAGGACAGAGTGAAAACACATCTCTGGCCATTGCAAAGGTCACCTCTCCTGTGAAGCCCCCAGCCCAGGCCTTCCCCAACAGCCCAGCCACGCTCCCACACTTACCCCCTCCTTCTCATTTTCCATCAACACCTTTTTCAGTGCTACTTTCTTGCCTGTCTGACGATGTTTGGCTTTGAAAACTTCCCTGTAAAACAGAAACCTGTGAGCTGCACGAGGAAGAAGCGAAAGAACCAAATGCTCCTGATATGGAACAAAACCAAACCAAAGCCACCCAGAGAGCTCTGTGCTGAGCCACCATCCAACCCAACCACATCCCCTCTGGAGCAAAGGCCCCCAGGACCAGCTGAGCCAACCCAGAGCTCCTGATGTTGAGGGCAGTTGAAAATTTACCAAAAATTAGGCAAAGGTGATGGGTCTGTTTTTAGATCAGGGTAAGAGGAACGGACAGTCCCTAAGAGCAGAACATCATAGTGCCCACAAACGGGGGCTGCAACTGGACATGAAGTTAACCAAACACTTGGTGCTGGGAAGTTAACCAAAAGTTTGGTGGTGGCTGATGTGGCTAAGAGATAACTCTAGTTACCTCACCTCATTATGATACTAAAAAACAAGCCCTTGGGACATTTTGTGTGGAAATCTTGGATCATTTTCATCTCATGAGTCAGACAGGAGCAAGGACACACAACCCACGCTGTGTTGTGCAAGCCCAGGTGAGCACTCCTCTGCTTTGGAGCGGCTCCTTCTGGGTTCATATTTCTTACAAAAAGCTCAGGAGGTTGAAGGGGACACTGGCTGTGTGAGACACCTGGCACCTGGTTTTGCAGAACTTTAGTGGAAAACCCCAGCTGCACAGCCAGGCAACAGAAACTATCTTCTATAACGATGTATCTTCTCTCAGTTTGAAACAAGGAGCTTAGCTGCTTATTAAGCCCCACAGCTCTGTGCAAACTGGCAAGAACAAGAAAACTCAGCAACTTGTGCCAAGGACAAAGAGTTTACCGCGAGGAAGACTGCTGCCTGAAGACCCCGGCCCACGGCCACCACATAACAACGCACAAGTGCAGCCAGGAGGGGGCTTATGATAACGAACTGATTGGAATATCCCCGCCTTCTCTCGGAGCCCTAACGCTGGTGCGTGAGCGGTTCTAGGAATATGTGATTTCACCCGCTGTAATCCCAGCTCCCTGTCCCTTCGGGGTGCGAGTCTGGAGGAGCGATCCCCCCGCCCCCGGCGCCGCAGCCCACGGCAAACATACCTGCTTTAGAGCTCTCTAAGAGCTACACAGCTTGTGTCCGCACGGCACGACTAAGGACAAACAGCTCGACCCGGCGGGGCGCCGGGGCCGGGACACCCGGGGC